AAACAACCTAGATGCCCATCAACAGATGAATGGATAAACAAACTATGGTACATACACACAATGGAGTACTATGCAACGATAAAGAACGACAATGAATCTGTGAAGCATCTCATAACATGGATGAAACTGAAAGACATTATGCTAAGTGAAATCAGTCAATCACAAAAGGACAAATATTGTATGAGACTTCTATTGTAAAAACCCATGGAAAAGTTCACACACAAAAAGAAACAATCGTTGTTGGTTACCAGGGATGGGAGGGATGTGGGGGGAATTACTAAATAGACAATAGATAAGTGGTAACTTTGGTGAAGGGTAAGACAATACACAATACAGGGGAAACCAGCACCACTTGTATAAGGGAAGGTCATGGAAGCTCTATAGTCACATCCAAACTCCCCGAGGGACTGAATTGCTGGGTGGAGGGCTATGGGGACCATGGTCTCGGGGAACACCTAGCTCAATTGGCATAACACAATTGATAAAGACAATGTTTGACATTCTACCTTGGTGAGTACTGTCTGAGATCTTAAAAGCCTGTGAGTGGCCATCTAAGGTATTCCACTGGTCTCACCCCTTCCGGAGCAAGGGAGAATGAAGAGAACAGGATACAAGGAAAAGATTAGTCCAAAGGACTAACAGACCCCAGCTACCACGGCCTCCACCAGACTGAGTCTAGTACAACTAGATGATGCCCGGGTACCACCACTGACTGCTCTGACTGGCATCACAACAGAGGGTCCTGGACAGAGCTGGAGAAAAATGTAGAACAAAATTCTAACTCACAAAAAAAGGCTAGACTTCCTGGCCTGACAGAGACTGGAGAAACCCTGAGAGTATGGCCCCCGGACACCCTTTTAGCTCAGTAATGAAGTCACTCCCGGGGTTTCACCATTCAGCCAAAGATTAGACAGGCCCATAAAACAAAACGAGACTAATGGGGCAAGGACTAGAAGGCAGGAGGGGACAGGAAAGCTGTAATAGGGAACCCAAGGCTGAGAAGGGACAGTGTTGACATGTCATAGGGTTATTAACCATTGTCATAAAACAATACGTGTACTGTTTAATGAAAAACTATTTGTTCTGTAAACCTTCATCTAAAGTACAATAAAAATAAAAAAACATAGCTATCATATTTTAAGAGATCGGCTACCAAAAAGTCAGCAGTTCAAATCTACCAGCCACTCCCTGGAAACCCTATGGGGCAGTTCTACTTTGTCCTATAGGGTCACTGTGAGTCAGAATCGACTCGACAGCAACAGTTTTAGTTTTGGTTTTATCGTATTTGTTAATTAATTCAACAAATATTTATTGAAGCCAACTTTATGCCACACACTATTTTAAGCATTGGGGATTTAACAATGAAAAGGGAGGGGAAAAAAAAATAGACAAAAATCCTTGCAGGCAGGACCCTTACATCCTACTGAGAAGCTTGCATGTAGCACCTCCAGTGCTAAACACATTATGTTGTTGTGATCCATGGGCTTTTCACACGCTGATTTTCGGAAATAGACTGCCAGGCCTTTCTTCCTAGTCCATCTTCATCTGGAAGCTCAACTGAAACCAATTCAGCGTCATAGCAACACGTAAGCCTCCAGTGGCAGACAGGCAGTGGCTGCACACGAGGTGCATTGGCAGGGAATCGAACCCGGGTCTCCAGCATGGAAGGTGAGAATTCTACCACTGAACCACCGATTTTGCAGACATTAAACTCATTCAACTGGCCTAAAATCACACAGGTACTTAGTCACAGGGTTAGAAACCAAGCCACCTCATTCCAAAGTTACTTCACAATTCCCACTCTGCCAGCTACCGACGGTAAATCAAAGAAAAGTCATGCTCCCGGTCCCTGTAACGCTCAGACTGCAAGCTAGTAAGTGTACACAGTGGAGAGTTACCAAGAAATTGAGAAATGGACAGAAATCGGTGACTGGGAAGTGGGGCGGGGCTGGTAACTGCTTTTGTCAAGCTCAAGACACGTTTAACATCTGAATCTTTTTGAGGTCTTCGATTTTTTCTTCTGGGGATTGGAGAAGAAAAACAGGATTAGCGTTGTGGGGAAAGAGACCATCATTAAAAGACAAAATTAGGACAGGGCTCCACTCTGGTGAGGAGCTGGGGGCAGGCTTGCAGGGGACACACAGGGTGCCTCAATAACGTCTTAGTTCCTCGTTTGTTATTTTATTGTCACATACGCTTTTGTTCATATCAAATACTACACGATAGAAATGGGCCCGAGAAAAACGATCTGAAGGAAAGATGTCAGCAGATGCAACCAAAGAAGGAAATTTTAGAGCGTTAATGAGTGAAAAATATATTAATGTTAATGGTGTTAATGGTGGTGTAACAATATCACCCAAAGGAGATTAAAAACTGATATTAAAGTTAACAGCCTTGAACAGAAAAACTAATCAGATACGTCCCTATTCTTTTTATCTTCTTCCTACCTCATATAATGGACCCCAAAGATCACCGCACAGGGAGATAAGGGTCAGGGAATGAATGATATGCAGAGTGTTGCTAGTCTGCACTCTCTGGAAAAAAAACATCTAATGAGCTGCAGTTGGTCCGAGTCAGGGTACTCTTGGGGGTTTCTAGGTAGAGCAGGTAGCTATCTTCCAAATTTCTTGGCACAGACGAGTAAGCACTTCCAGTGCTGCACCTGTGTGTTGAAACATTAACCATGTCAAGAAATTTGGAAGACAGCTACCTGGCCAGCCGACTGGAAAAGATCCATATTTATGCCTATTCCAAAGAAAGGTGATCCAACCAAATGCAAAAATTATCAAACAATATCATTAATATCACATGCAAGTAAAATTTTGCTGAAGATGATTCAAAAGTGGCTGTAGCAGTATATTGACAGGGAACTGCCAGAAATTCAAGCCAGATTCAGAAGAGGATTTGGAACCAGGGATATCATTGCTGATGTCAGATGGATCCTGACTGAAAGCAGAGAATACCAGAAAGATGTTTACCTGTGTTTCATTGACTACGCAAAGGCATTTGACTGTGTGAATCATAACGAATTATGGATAACACTGCGAAGAATGGAAATTCCAGAACACTTAATTGTGCTCATGAGGAACCTATACATAGATCAAGAGGCAGTCATTCGAACAGAATAAGGGGATGCTGCGTGGAAAGGTGTGCGTCAGAGTTGTATCCTTTCACCATACTTATTCAATCTGTATGCTGAACAAATAATCCGAGAAGCTGGACTATATGAAGAACAGGGAATCAGGATTGGAGGAAGACTCATTAACAACGTGCGTTATGCAGGTGACACAACCTTGCCTGCTGAAAGTAAAGAGGACTTGCTTACTGATGAAGATCAAAGACCACAGCCTTCAGTATGGATTGCACCTCAACATAAAGAAAACAAAAATCCTTACAAATGGACCAAAAAGCAACATTATGATAAATGGAGAAAAGATTGAAGTTGTCAAGGATTTCATTTTACTTGGATCCACAATCAATGCCCATGGAAGCAGCAGTCAAGAAATCAAGACGCACTGCATTAGGCAAATCTGCTACAAAAGACCTCTTTAAAGTGTTGAAAAGCAAAGATGTTTTTGAAGACTAAGGTGCACCTGACCCAAGCCACAGTGTTTTTAATCACCTTATATGCACGTGGAAGCCGGACAATGAATAAGAAGCCCAAAAAAGAATTGATGCCTTTGAATTGTGGTGTTGGTGAAGAATATTGAATACTCCATGGACGTCAAGAGAATGAACAAATCTGTCTTGGAAGAAATATAACCAGAATGCTCCTTAGACGCAAGGATGGCGAGACTATGTCTCATATACTTTGGACATGTTGTCAGGGGGGACCAGTCCCTATTGAATGACATCATGCCTGGTAAAGTAGAGGGTCGGTGAAAAAGAGGAAGACCCTCAACAGATGGATTGACACAGTGGCTGCAACAATGGGCTCAAGCATAACAGCAACTGTGAGGATGGTGCAGGACCAGGCAGTGTTTCGTTCTGTTGTACATGGGGTCACTATGTGTCGGAACCGACTCGACGGCACCTAACAACAACAGGTAGACTAGCAGTCATTTTTCTGCAAACCATTCCCCCACCTCAATTTTCATTTCTTTGGGATCTACTCTTTGGGTAGTTTAAAATAAAAAAAAAAAAATAGGTCGAGCATTATCACTTTACTTTGCATTAGCAGACAGTTTCCCTTTCCTGGTTTCTCCGTGCACGTCACCCACTTGTCCAGCCTGCCTATTGTGAGGAGAGGGGGCTTCAAATGACAGGATCTGACCTCAACAATAGCCCAAAACCAGTCACCCCCGTCTCCAAAGTCACGCATATTAGTCCACCACCAATATCAGAAACTGCACCAGAAATCAAAGCTGAGCCTTAAATATTCTGAGCCAGTGAGGGGGCTGTGTCTCTTAGCCCTAATCACCACTTCAACTAGTAAAATTTAATTCCCCCAAGGAACCCAGCCTGAAGAAAACCCTCCCCAAGGGCACAACTGAGTGGGCAGCAGTAAAATGTTTTGGATGACTCAGTCGCCTGTTTCCAAATAATACCTAACTAGCTAACTAGCTTCACCCCCTCCCCCCCACCTCCCCAGCTCCCCTGCGGTTACTCAAGGACCCTGAGGGCCTCGGTCTGGGCACATTCGGGCCTCCACACTCAGACAAACCAACTCTCCCTCTGCCCTTGACACACCCCATCAACAGGAAGGCATCTCAGAGCGGTGGGGGAAGGGAGTGGAGAAAGACTTAGGGCCGGAGCCCCGACCCAGCAGACACTGCTGCCTAAACACAGGTCCGAGATCCCGGCTCCTGGCCGGGTTCCTTCCCCGATCTTAGAGGGGACGCCGGATCTCAGAGCCGGTGCAGGCTGAGGGTAGGGTCCGGCCGGGCCGCCTCACCTGCACTTCTTCGGACCCACAAGATTAAAGGCATCACTAGCCCAAGCGCCAATCCTAGCGCGACCATGGTCCGTCACCAACGCGCGGGACTCCGGAAGTGGACGCCAGGTGGGGGCAGGGCCATGGGCGGGGCCGGGCCTGGCTCCACCCCTCCCAGGCCATTGAATCCGCGAAGCCGCCCGCGGCCGCAGGGCGAGGCCGGGCCTCTCCCCCTCTCGGCCGCCGTAGTGGAAGAAAAAACGGTTACCCAGCAACGAGAAAAACAAGCGGAACCATCGGCACCAGCTCTGCGCGAAAGGAGAGGTGAGGCGGTTTCCCGACTTCCTCTCCAAAACCAAGACCTCGCCTTTTCCCTGCGTCTCTCGTGTGCTCTCAGGAGCCCCGACACACCCTGGGAGTCCTGGGGTACATCAGCAGCCGAGGCAGCCGTGCTGCGCGAGTCTGCAACCCCGGGTGGTCCGCGTCCGCCCCACTCCCCAGATTTGCCCAGGTCTCACCAGTCCTCCTCTTCACAGCCCTAGACTGATTCAGTACCTCATCTCCTGCCCCTCAAAAAAAAAAAAGAAAGAAAAAATACCCTCCACAGATTGGGCTTCCGCTTTTATTCCGCGTTGACACTGTCACAGACAGACCAGATTGCTATGTTTTCTTTTCCTATCGGTAGCCTAACCCACTGCTTGGCAGTTACCCTTCATCCAGCTCGTATATTCCAAGACTGGAAAAGAAGGCCTGGTCAAGACAAACCCAAGAAGTAAAAGGCCCCCAAAACTTGGGAGACTGGGCTTTGAAAATCATGACCTTGCCTCCTGCTCCGCTTCGGAGTAAACAGGTGTTCAGAGGTCATGCTTTCGGAATGGAAGCTAAGGAAAAGATTAAGTGTGAAGCGTCTTCATTCAACAAATGAGAGGACTTTGTAGAACCAGGACTAATTCCAACTTTTTAAAAATGGTTCTTATTTAGTTGTTTGTTTTAGACAGAACCACCTGCCTAATTTCCTGAACGGTGTCTTCTCAGCAACTTACAATGAATTCAGCAAAACTAGGTTTTTAATCATTGTCGCTAAACTCCTGTAAGATAGCAGAAATCATCATCTCCTCCTAAGAACTGAAAGACGGAGAGAGAGAAGAGGTATTTAGTGTTATAGTGAAAACGCCTGTGATTTTCATAGTTTTTTTTTTAAGAAGTATTCAGCCTAATAAATGGGTCTGTATTTGTAATGTTCTAATTAATAATGGAGAATTCAAAACTTTTTGAAATAAATGGATGAACTTGTATTGGAAAAAATAATTGAAGTCTACAAAATTTGGGTCTCAGAAATAATTTGTTGTCATAGTTGTGATTACATAAGTAATAATCGTGCATATTTAAAGACAGTGCTCTTTAATGAATCTCTAGGTACAATAGGCAGTTCCTTCCAAGGAGATGTCGATTCCATTCTCCAACACCCACTACCGAATTCCACAAGGATTTGGGAATCTTCTTGAAGGGCTGACACGCGAGATTCTGAGGGAGCAGCCGGACAATATACCAGCTTTTGCAGCAGCATATTTTGAGAACCTTCTAGAGAAAAGAGAGAGTAAGCTTTTTAAAAATAGGCATCTTTTTTTCAATAAGAGACTAAGCATTTGGTTATGGTGTAATTAAGACCTTCTCTATTCCACAGAAAATCGTTTTGAGGAGTTGACTTCAAATAACAGGATTTGAAACAGCGCGTGCCTTTTTGACAAGTTCTCTTAAATAAGTTTCACGTTATCGAAGGTTACTAGTTTATCACCCAGATTTTCTTCACTGTATTTCTCATGGACACACTGGGTGGAAGGGAACCACAAGAGGTCATACCCATCCATTTTTGAGCGTACTGTTCCCTACACCTCCCAGACTGTCTGTTCTTCCTGGGAGGAGAGTTTGTGGTTTTCTTTAAATTTTGATTTGCAAAAAATAATTCTACACTCTTTAGGTTGAATACATTGGTATTCGTTGGAGGTATATGAAACTGTTCTGCAATAAAGGCATATAGACAAACTGCTTTGAAGGCAAACTGCTTTGAAAAGTGAACTTCATAGCTTGGGAAGGTAATTTATACTCTTCCTCTATACTCTCAAGGCCCCATCCTGTCCGGAGACTAAGATCCCTTCTAACGTGACCCTTTGGTTGAAAGAGAGAAAACAAAATTCCTTCACGTCCATAAATAAACTTTCTAAGTCCCCTGCCTTGGAGGTTCATGGTTATCAGGACCTGACCCAGTGTCAGGATGGGAATTATTTTGGCTATAAGTTTGTACAAAAAACCTATTCTTGATTAGAACAATCTTTCTGTCATCATCTATTCTAGTCATGAGTAAGCTGTCATCATCATTACTTTTTACTATAGTATTCCAACAGAGTGGTAAAGGTGACTAGAAATATCCACAAGCAAATAAACATTCCATTTCAAATCATTATACAGAGGGAGGAAACCGATCTCGAGGCTTGAATTCAAACAACTCCCATACACACAGCACAGCTCTAACCTCTAGCCTTTGCATTATGCTAGCAGGGCCCAGTCTCACTGCCAGTTTCCTGAACGTTGCTGTTCTTTTCCATATCCAGTCAGTGTGAATATTTATTGCACAATTTGAAACTTAAATGCCTGCCACTGCAAACATTTTGATAAATTATCTTTAGCAGGGAAAGTCATTAAATCTTTTGGGGTAAAGGGTAAATTGTAATAAACATTAATTTAATTTTGTTATTATAACATTAATTTTACAAATTCATGCCATAAAAAGTCGGTAGTCATGTATTTAATTTTAGAACTCAGAAACATCCCATTACAAAAACATTTGAGTCATTGTTAACTGCATCACGGTAATTAAAGCAATTGGTGATTCAGATTAACGGCCCCAGGGTACTAGCCTCTAATAAACAATGGATAAAGCTATTTGAAAAAAATTTAAACACCACACCCACTTCCACCATGTCAACTAAACACGAATGATCCAACTAATACAAAGTGTCAGGATTTAGTCTCTACAAAAAGGGGACAAAAATCATTAGCCCAGTCTCCCACACAATGCAGGAATTCTCATGCAACCATTCCTCATAAGTGATGACTAGTTTTAACTTTGATTTTGGGGGCAGGAAACATTTTGGTATACAATATAAGTAGTATCTCAAATCAGTAGGGAAATGATGGACTTTTTAACAAATGATGTTGGAATAACGGTAGAAAATGATAAATTGGATCAATTCCTTAAACCATGTTATTAGTTGTCATCAAGTCAATTCTGACTCATGGAAACCCCATGTGTGCCAAGTAGAACTGCACTCCATAGGGTTTTCAAGGCTGTGCTCTTGAAAGGAAGCATATCACCAGGCCTTACTTCTCAGGCATCTCTGGGTGGGTTTGAACAGCCAAACTTTCAGTTAGTAGACCAGTGCTTAACCATTTGCTTAACCTTCCACCCAATGGTTAACCACTTGCACCACCCAGGAACTCCTTACACCATATATTATGGATTGAATTGTGTCTCCCAAAATTATGTGTCAACTTGGCTATGCCATGATTCCCAGTAGTGTGTGGTTGTCCTCCATTATGTCATTTATTTATGTGTTGTAAATCCTAACCTCTATGATGTTAATGAGACAGGATTAGGGGCAGTTATGTTAATGAGGCAGGATTCAGTCCACAGGATTAGGTTGTATCCTGAGGCAATCTCTTTTGAGATATAAAAGAACTGAGCAGAGAGGAGGGAGACCTCCTACCACCAAGAAAGAAGAGCCAGGAGTGAAAGGTCCCTGCCCGAAGAAGCTCCTAGACCAGGAGAAGATTGATGACAGGGATCTTCCCCTAGAGCTGACAGAGAAAGAAAGCACTATCTGGGAGCTGGCACCCTGAATTCGGACTTCTAGCCTCCTAGAATGTGAGAGTATAAATCCCTGTTAAAGCCATCCACTTGCGGTATTTCTCTTTTAGCAGCACTAGATAACTAAGACAGAATTTGGTACCAAGAGTGGGGTGCTGCTCTAACAGATACCTACAGTGTGGAAGCGATTTTGAAACTGTGAATGGGTAAAGGCTGGAAGAGTTTTAAAGTGACTAATAGTAAAAGCCTGGATTGCCTTGAAGAGACTGTTGGTGGAATTATGGACATCAAAGACAATTCTGATGAGGACTCAGAAAGAAATGAGCAGGCTGTAACACTGGAGGTGATGAAGACGGTGAGAAGCAGCAGCAGAACCAGGAGACCAGCTTGAGACAGCACTGGAGCCGACCCACGGAGCAAGAAAGCTGATTGTCTTTGCACAGGAGGCTCCCTGGCGGAGTGGGGTGCCTCTGGGCACTTACCGGTTAAACTACACTTGCCAACCCACAGAGCAAGAATGCTGAGTGCCTTCCGGCCAAGATTTACTGGCAGAATGGGGTGCCTCCAGGCACTTATCAGTGGAGCTAAAGACCTTTTGAACACTTGCCTCAGCAGGACAGACAAGGGCGGTGAGGTCCAAAGGGCCGAAAGGCCAAGGAACCAGGAAGCAGAAGCTGAAGAGACAAGGAACACAGGAAGCAGAGCTGCCTCAGTCTCAAAGGATAGGGCCACAACCTCTTGGGTCTCAAATGATGGAGCCATGGCCTCTGGGGTTTCAAGGGGTAGGGCCACAGCCTCCTAGGTTTCAGAGTAAGATCTTCACCAACTCGGTTCTAGAGTGTGGGGCTATGTTCATGAGTGCCAGGGGATGGGGCCAGATCTGCTGTCCAAAGCTGAGGGGGCAGGACTGCCATGCCCAAGGGGCAGAAGAATGGGGTCTGCGGGGCTACGGCAGTGAGTCACCACTCAGATGGACTAGGAGAATGGGGCTGCCCAAATGTGAGGGAGCAGAGTTGCTGTCCCAGTGGGCCTGGAAGGCAGAGCTGAAGCCCAGGGTCAAGGGGCTTCCATCCAGAATCCAGAGAGTGTGGCCAACACCCAGAATCTGGAGGGCAGGGCCATTGCCTAAATGGTCTCAGAGAACAGAGGATTACTGTCAAAGCTTGAGAGCTAATATAATGTGTTCTGCTGACTTGCCTGATGCCTGTTATCCCTTCTTTCCCTCCAATTTCTCCCATTTGTAATGGAAATGTCTAGCTTGTGCCT